TATATATATATATATATATATATATATATACATACACACTTCCGATTACGCCAGAGATTACTCGCGAGGTCCACTCGCGTCCCCTGTGATCGAAATCGTTCCGAGAATCGCTCGTCAATCTCTTATCTCGATGTCAAAATTACAGAAAAGATTAATCAGCGATCGTTGATCAGAGCGGCGGCAGATGAAGACAGGCCGTGTTGAAACGTGTGTTTGAAAATCTCTCGCTGCTTCGAGAGAAACAACGAGAAATTCGCATCTCGCTCGCGAAACAAGCAGATCGGGGGAGATGGTGCCGTCGGGGTGGACTTTGCGTTTGTCTCTGGCGAGCTTGACCATTACCGTACTAACGTTTTGTATTGTCGACAACCATAGCTGCATAATTAAGTCTAGTGGCACTCTATAATTTCGTATTCCATATATCATGTTCTACTTGTACCTTTAGCGATCCGTATATCTATGTAGCTCTACATCTGTCTGTATACTATATACATGCTATATATATACACTCTTATCTCAATGTATATATATAAATGTACTGTGACTCCCTATCCTCTCTTCTACCATCTAAGACTTTCCTCAGTGCGTCCTTCTTCTCTCGATGTGGCTTGTTGTAGCAGTGGGAGATGCCTCACGTGTGTCGCTGTGATACTTGCAATCGCGATCTCCGTATTGACAACCGTAGCGACAATGTGTGTGTTTAGAGAGAATACACAGATATATATATATATATAGTCTCGATTTCCAACGGAATTCCGCCGAATATCATTTTCTGCCCGTTCGTACGGTCGAGTAATGTCTATTCATTTTCTTTGTTCTTTCTTTGCAAAAACACCGCACCAGATTCAATTGTCGCGGGTAGATTTGACCTAGATCTGACTTAGCGAAGATTAGAGACCTTCAAATCGGTATTCATAGTCCGAATCTTATATTTGAGATTGAGTCTTGAGTTCATCTTCAAATACTGAGCAGCCAAATGAAACGGCCCGTACGTCATCTGAAGATAAACTTCAGACGATCTTAATGTAAGATCTGACTGTGAATACCGGCCCTAGAGAGACTCGATATTGTGTTATAGTTCAGCTGACGGTGTAATTAAATGTACAGAGTGATTTCCTAATCAGGAGATCGACTTTCTCACTTGAATCGAGAGATTCGACGTTACTGACTTTCGTTTTGTTTCTTTTAGATTTATTTCGGTTTCTCTTCTCCCGACGACTTCTTTTCCAGCTCGAACTAATCATCGAACTATCGCTATACTACTGCCTGTCGTCGTCTTCCCCTTCGCCATCTCTACTTCGAACGGCCTACTACTCTACTACTATTACTACTACTATTACTATGCTACCACTGTTACTATGATTCTACTGTTACTACTATTACTATCACTCAAGACTTTGATCTTTTCAGCACGTGGACACTCACTGAGGCACTATTATGTCGCTGTTGGTTCGACGACAATATATCGCCGTTCGCCGGAACAAACTTCCTCGAAACCGATCGAGCCTATTATGCCATGAGAATAAAAAAAAAAAGAAAACAATATATGACAATCAAATCGCCTTATGATAATCACGTAGAAGCGAGCCGCGAATGCAACACGCGTCATTTTGATTCGATCTCTTGTTGTATATCAGTGTCTGCCGCCGCGGTTTCTCACACATATCGCGAGAGAAAGAGAGGAGTAATTTCGCAGGTTAAAGAATTTCTCAGACTGAAGAAAGAAATCAATTCCAAGGCGAGCGTAGCTGTCGAATCAGGAGCGACATGTGCGGACGGTGCCGCTGTAGTTTCCGACTTCTGGACGAAATCTTTCTCCTGCATGGTGCTGCCCTATGTACATCATTGTGCCACACCAGAACACACGTTCACATACGTGTACCATATACCCACGTACACACATACGTACACACACGCACACACGCATACGTCACCGATACTCGCAAAGCAGCAACAGTAGATTAGTTAGATCGCATTCTAGAGGTGTGTACGTGTTCAACATCTACTTGTCCGGTTAACAATTCAAAGTCATCATCACCCTGAGAGAATGACAAGACTCCACTGAGACTTCCGCGCGAGACAACGCGATCGGTGTTTAATTAGCCGACTGATCGCTCGTCGAAATCGCCGTACGTGTGACGTGACACGCGATCGCGCGTCAATCGAGCCTCCGGGCCGAAGGCCTCATCGTGTCGAGCGAGTGAGCGAAGCCGAGGATTTTCAGATTATGCGCTTTATTCGAAAATGGCGGGAATAAACGAGGCGAACGGTGTATTCGCGCGTCGTATATAGGCAAAAGTGACCGACACGATTCTCCGATCGCCGTCGGGAAACTTGCGAGGGGACCGACCGACCGTCTTCTTTTCTGACTGAGTCGCGGTCGCGTCTTACCTTGATGATCCCGAGACTCGCCGAGAAGGCGAGACGACGGTCATTCAATTAGATAGATTGTATCATAGCGTATTAGAGCGCAATCGAGGTATACATAGTATATGTACATAAGTCCTTATATCTCAGTGTTCCAAGTTAGTGAAGAGTGAGAAGCAAAGAGAGAGAGAGAGAGAGAGAGAAAGAAAGGAAAGAGATAATAGCAGTGAATACTAACGATTAGCCAAATTAACGTAGTTTAACGCGTAGGTGTAAGTGAACCTCTAACTATTCTTCGTTTCGTCCGGCGAGGAGATCGGAGGTCTCGTTCTTTCGTGAGAAACGGTGCGTGCCGAATCGGGTCTCATCTGCTTGCAGCGTATCGACGAATTTCTCTCTTCCGCTTCCGATTGATTTCGACGCGAAACAGGAAACGAAAGGCACGGGATCGAGAGGGTGGACCAGGATATGCGTGCAGACGTTGTGAGACGTCCCGAGAGAGTCCTTCGTAACGTTCCGCTTTGTTACCTCGTACGATCGCGCCCGAGACGCGGCCGCTCTTCGGCGCAGGAGGGGAGAGTCAGATATTTTGCAAAAAAAAGGAGAGAGAGAGAGAGAGAAAGAAGCGCGAAGCGTGGAAAGAGAAAAAGAAAGGACGACACGACGATGCTGAAATGCGCAATTCTCGCTTGATTATATCGATACCTACGATAGCTTTAAAGGGAGCACTCGACCAAGGGTTTTCGGTAACTGATAATTTACAATTTACAAGGACAGAGGTAGAGAGAGAGAGAGAGAGAGAGAGAGAGAGAGAGAAAGGGGGGAGGGGGGACCGACGAATGCACGCATACGTACTTAATATTTAAGCTCCGACTGTGATAAGCCGAATCTACAAAACACGGGAAAAACAGGTGCACTCGTTCTGTAAGTTCCGTTGCTCAACGAGCGCTGCTAGACAAGACAAGACAAGAGTTTAGCGATACGCTGCAAATCATTATACGCGATGAGGATGAGGAGGATGAAGTTTGCGAAGGAATTGGAACGACACGTCTCTTCGGTAGATCTTTTACCGTAGCTCTTAGGTGTACTCTCTCGTAAAGTACGAGTCCGAAAGGCGGCAAGATGACAAAACGCGGTATTAGCAGAACTTTTTCCAGCATCACAAACTCTATCGGGGACGGTACTTGCTAAATTAGTCGATAAATCGAATTTACACTTTAAGAGCGCGCGAGATCGCCCACGATCGAAGGGACGAATTGAACGTTTAAATTAAGGCGCGATTAATTGATAATCATGTGATGCGTAATTTTACTTGTGCGATCGCGGCGGCGAATGACGGATCTCTTCCCCATTTTTTCCATTAACGTAATTCACGTTTTAGTCGTTCTTTTTTAGCACTCCTGTCGAGGTAACAATCGGTCAGTACTCGAAGGAGAACTGACCTGCGCGACGCGACGCAGGGAGACACGTTCGCGCGACACGAGAGTATAACAATATTACTACTGAAGGGCTATTTCCGCCGTGTTCGAGCCGCGCACAGCAAACCTCTGACGATTCCTTCTCGAAAGTTAAACACAACGAGAGCAACAACAGTATTCCCAGCAGTATTCCATCGAAATACCGCAGGTAACGGTAATGACGCGGTAATCATGACGTTTAATTGTCCACGCCGCGCAATTTTTGTGTGTCACACTTGAGCGCCGAATTAACCGTTTCCTTCGTCGACGTCGAATCTCGCTCTCAACTTGCCGGTTCTTTTCGTTGAGCTTGGCCTCGTTGGCGGGCGAGCCGTTCTTCTCTCGAGCAGAGTGACTCTCGCCTGCCAACGAGATTTCCTCTTCTTCCGGAGAGAACACACGTTGCAAATTCGTAGACGCAGGAATCAACAGGCGACACTTCTCCGGGAGAGAAGACAGAGCCGTTCGACGTCGAGGATGATTATACGCTTCCTTTCCTTCCTTTCTTTTTCTCATTCTCGCGAGAAACGAAGTCAATTGTTCGTAATTAGCGCGCGGCGAAACGCGCGCGCCTTTCGACCATAGTCAATCGAGATCGTCGATGCGTTATTATTAAGTCACAGGGCGACACTCCAGAGCCGTGCTAATTATTACACTCACACGCGTACGCTGCGGTGGACACACACACGTACACGTACAGCTATACAATCATACTCGTATACATTGTATATGCGCAGAGAGAGGGAGAGACAGATAGGAAGATTAATAATAGCGAATATTATACAGAGAAAGTGAGAACGAACGAGAGAGAAAGAGAGAGAGAGAGAGAATATTAAATAATAAATTTTATCGTCGCCAGGTAAGTCGACAGTAGTTTCGCGAGGTGTAGCTAAAAGAAAAGTATAGGTAAGAAAAACCTTTATGGATATTCGCGACGTGTGCCGCGTCGATTTTCCCGGATCGATATCGGAAGGGAACCGCGAGAACAGCAGCAGTGAGACCTAGGTCGAAGGTTACCGAGTGAGAGAATCGCGTAAGAGACGAAACCGCGAGATTTTTGCACGGTGGAGCTGCGAAAACACGCGCGAATGAGTGCTGCGAGTCGTCGACTGCGATTTTTGATGAGAGAGAGAGAGAGAGAGAGAGAAAGAGAGAATCTCTACTCGTTCTTCTGCTTGCATCGACGACTCGATCGCGTTAAAGTTGGTGATTTTCTCGCGGGTTTCCCGTGCGGAAAATCAAGCGCGCATCTCGGCCCGATCTCGCCCAACTAATTTTCGTTGAGAAGCACTCGAGAGGAGCGAACGGCCCGAGTCGGAAGGGAGAAGCGCGCCGCGACGTCGAGAGAAAACGTCACGGCCGACGCGCGCGGTCGTCCTCGGTTGTTCCGGCGAACAAGTTTCCCGATACTGGACTCGCGCAACGCCAGTCTCGAGCTAGCCTCCGATTGCAGAGTGATTGACGCGAGATCGACGAAGGGATCTCTCTCATTCCGGAATCGTCCGAGATTGCTTTCGACCAATTAATTCTTCCCCCCGAACGAAAAGGAAAGACCGACGATCCCTTCGCATCGGCCGCGTTTTTTCGCGGAGTGTTGCCGTCGTCGGCAAGTTGTCTCGCGGTCGTGAGGGCAGCGATCGACACAGATTCGAACACGGTCGGGAGGAGGAGCGGCAGAGACGAGGATCGTTTGGCAAAGTAGGGAAAGCTACTGGGAGCCATTGTCTTTTGTGATGTTGCTCACACACGCTAAGTAATTTTAAGTGGACATATCTTATCTCTCGCAGCAAGTATTTTCTCCGGTTGTTGCGCCATGTGTACAGTGAGAGAGAGAGAGAGAGAGAGAGAGAGAGAGAGAGAGAGAGAGAGAGAGACACGACGTGAGTGTCGCGGCGAGATGACGCTCGTCGCAGAGTTCATGCCTGTAATAAATTCTATATCCTGTTTTTCGGGCATAATTTGCTGCTGGCATTGACGTGAGTCAGTGGAGCGCCACGGGGTCCCCTTTGAAACCGCGCGCGCGGTTTCAATGAAATTAGCTTTTCAGGGAGAAGCGAAAGTAAAGTGACTTATTTTCGTAACGTTCAGCTCGGAGAATTTTCGCCGTGATCGACGAACAATTTGCGAAGAGGGCAGGGAGAGAGAAAGAGAGAGGGAGGGAGGGAGGGAAAGAAAAAGAAGAAAAAGATTAAAAAAAGAAAAAATTCGATGCAACCGCAGCGAATTCGCAATTAGCAACCGATCGCAATCAAAATCGTTAGGAAACGTCGAGCGGCGAGCTCACAGGTACAAATAATACATATGTCCGCGCATGCAGGCAGGTTGTAAACGAATACTTTGAGATGTCTTCTGATTTTGGGTGTACGCGCTGAAACGAAGTATCGACTGATGAGGAGTGAGTGAGCGTGATGTTAACGTTGCGCTGTTAATTATCCTGTCGCCGCAGGAGGAGAGGGGATTGGAGAATAGAGTGGCCCGAACCGGTGATGGGGGCGAATAGTAAGTAGAAAAAAAGAGAAAAAATTCAGAAAAACAAAGTACGCGCGACGAGGATCGGAGGGTGTCGATCGTCCGAGCTTCGAAGTCAATGCGTTTGACGTCTAGAGAAAAAAAAACGAGTGTGTTATATATAAATATATGAACATTATAAATACATATTAAAATTTAGATTTATATATATATATATATAAATATATATATGTAAAAGAGAATGTTATGTATAGAGAAGAAGAGGAAGAACGGCAATGGCGGGGCGTGAAGAGACGATATCAGTGACAATTACGATTAATTATTGTCGTCATTATTATTGCCAGAATTATTACCGTTGCGTTATTGTCGAACGAACGACGTAGATCGACGCCGACAAGTCCTACCGACGCGTTTCACGATCGCCCTCGTTTCCGTTATTTCGCAGCTTACCGTATGAATTGATCGCCGTGTCGATTGCGCCGTTATCGCGACGTAAGCGCGATTTCAGCTTGGCGCTTGATGCGCGCGCGAGATCAGCGCGGCTGTGGTTGCGAAGTGGCTGTGAGCGAATCGACCAAGTGGTTAGTGTTTCCGCAAGGCTGAACCCGAGACAATCAGACTGCCGCGGACGACGAGCTCATCGTGGTCCCCGGGACTCGTTCAGCCGTGGTAACGAATTGCGGGACACACGGGGCCTCCGTCGGGCTCGAATCGTCCGCGGTCGGCGGAATCCTTCGCAACCAGAGCCCTTCTTCTGGCGTCCTTCTCGGCGCGTTTAGCAGCAAATCGGGCCGCGGTGAAGGCAGAGAGACCGGCCGACTAACCCCGCGGTAGTTCTGACGCTTGCGAGTTCCGCGAGAGAACGCATCCGGCGAATCGATCGTTGTGTTCCCGGGGAGAGAGGGAGGATGGAGGAAGTGAAACGTTGCCCTCCACTCCCACCCCACCGAATCGCCAGCTGTTTTACTTAAATTAGCACTTGTCCCGCGCTCTCGAGCAGCCGCAGAGCGGAAGGAGCAAAAGCGTCTGACGCGGGCCTTGAGCGGGCTCGTCGACGCGCCGGGGCACTTTTCTCGTCCTGTGAATCGTTTCGTCTAAGACTTCCCTAAACGTAATTAAAGTGATTAAATGTAATTCGTTCTAACTGGTACAGTGTACACAGCGGTTGTCACATAGTAGCGTTGTAGTAGTTACTTCATCGTTATCATCGAGCATTACTATTACTTTCCTTACGTCCTTGATTCGGTTCTCCACTTGCTTACACCTCGACTGTAAGTAGCTGCGGTTGCTTTCAGACATTACTTACTGTTCTCATGGAAGTAGAGCGCGAGAGTTCGCGCGAGGTGTCGGGGCGGCTTCCTCCGCTTGCCTCCGGACGACGCGAACGGTAGAATGAGCGAAGGAGCGAGATTCTTCGCGAACGGCCGAACGAGGTGACAGCCAAGTGACGCGAATTCGAGCGATCCCGCGGCCTCTTCGGGGACGCGCGTGTAAGTCGTAGTAAGCTAAGTTGGAGTAAGAAATAAAAATGATTCGCTTGAAATAAAAATGACACGCCTACACTCGAAAACTTCATCCACAATATGCTCTTCGCTTCTCTCCCTTTGTCTCTTTCTGACTCAAATCTTAAGTCCTAAGCCAGAGGAGGACAGAGAACAAGAGACAGGAAGCGAAGAGCACATTGTAGATTAAGCTCAATTTCTCTTAAGCAAAGGAAATACTTCCGCGTGTGAGAAAGCTGAAGTATAGGCGTGAAATAGATTATTTGTATTTCTTACTGCAACTTATGCAGAGCTTACTCCACATATCGTGGACGACCATTGAATGCCATATGTGCTACTACACGCGTCGTCGCTCAAGGTGGACGAAGATCTGCTCGTTTCATCGTCGCGAGAACCAGCCCGCTTTGTCTAAGACCGCGCTCGACCAGGAGCGTCGGTCGCCGCCGATACCTGGCGAAAGCCCGCGTCTCGCGCGTTATACTTAACGTTACTTTACGTTGACAAGTGTGAACGAGTGTTTCCACTAGAGTGCGACAAAGTGACGATGGCGGCGATGGCAACGACGATACTGATTTTCATTATCGTTATCCTTAGTGTCGATTATAATACGCGTACTACTCCGTTGTATTGTCCGACAACATCCTGCATTATTTTGTAAAGAAGAATAAAAATATCTTGACAAACGCAAGAACCAATGCGACCCCGTTATTTCAGCTTGTCCAGAATCTTTATTTGCTCGTCGTGCATGTAGAGAACACACACACACACACATATATATAATACATATTTCTGGAGATGCATTCGCTTGAACAGGATACCAATGATAATCTCTTCTGATCTCTAAATATCGATCACTCGCAGGCAAAGTGACATGAGCCATATATTTGGAAAAAGCCGCGAGACGCTTCAAGTGAGCACATTCAGAGCGGAGGATCGTTCACGACTCCTCATTTCTGAGATTCTCGCTTTAATCGTAGGAATTGGCCGATCGCGATCTCAGTGCTGCCGCGTTCACAGGTTGTTGTAGGTGACGTAGTGAAGAGACGCCGGCGACACGTATCTGATGAAACTCGAGTACGAAGAACTCAATGGAATCGCGTTCAGCGGCACGATCAGGGTGTTGACAGTGTCTGCTTGCTGATTTGAAGGAATCTGCTCCTTCTCTGGCGCTTTCCTGGTCGAAATCGCTCCACTCTTCAGGGCCGTTCCCGCCGGTGTGATCACGCCAGAAACGCCTGCGGAGGAAAAAGCCAGATGATTATTTTCAATAACGATAACGTCACTCGCGCGAGCTCGTTGCGGCCCTGCTCGCCAATTTGGCGCAGTGTGCCGGCTGAATTTTGCCCGCAAGACCAATTCGCGCTCTAACAAACGAGTCTGCGAGCCATTCGCGATCTGCCAGGCCGACCTCAGACGGTCCCTGGCCCCGGAAGCACAGCGATCTTCGAAGGACGGCGGAAAGGCGGTCGGCAAAGACGGAGGAACGAGCTTGACGATCTTTCGTTAAACGATTCTTCTTTTCTTTTATCGGCGCTGTTTTATCGCTAGAGTCAAGTATCGTTTTCAGTGAAAGAATACTGCGGGGTGTGTCGCGTTTTACGGCCCTCTTCGAGCCAAGTCTGCGAGTTGAAATGCATTTGAGTTACTCTGGAAAAATGCGAATGCAAACGCGTTTGCCGGGCGCGATCGCGACGGAGCGAGGAGTAAAAGGGCGAGGAGTAAGTGCGAGTTACAATCACGGCGACCTTGCGCGATCGATGACTCCGGTATGGCGGAAGGCTCGATCTCGTGGCTTCCATGGGAGATCCGAAATACCGGCACCGCGTGTTGGTTCGCTGCTTGAGGTAACAGCACGTGAGAGGAGATTAATGGAATCGCCGGGATGTTTGCGCCGCCAACGACCTCCTGTGACGCCCTTCCACTGGATTCCTGTTGATCATTTTTCGAAACACCGATGAGGAATTTTTCGAAAAGATCTCGAGACGCTAGGAGCTCGCACATTCTATACTGAGCAGCGTGTCAGCTGAGAATGTGCTAAAGTCAAGGAATTTGCAATCTGACAAGAGGCTGTTCTCCTTTGCCCGAAGCCAAATAAAAAAATTTCGGTACCAATCGATAAAGAATACTTCAATAAGCGCTGAGACTGAAGATTACGTTTGCAAACTCGTCAGAGTTCCAGAAATTCGGAATTTTATCCATTGTTCTATATATTTCTTTATTTGGTCACTTTGAAGGTCTCTACGAGACCATGGCATTATTCTAGAAGTATCAAAATGATAATTAAAATTTATTCTTGATACGTGCAATTCGTCTAGAAGGCAGTGCCTGACAGAAGCGCTGACATTGATCGCAGTCTGACCTTCAAAGTGACCGAATAAAAACACTAAACATATGGGGCAATGAACAAAATTCCAAATTTCTGGAACCGTGACGAGAAACCTGAAACATTATTGATTAATACGAAAATTTATTTATTTGGCTCGGAAGAGCCACAGTCCCTTGTGAAATTGCTATCAAAAGCTCATGCATGAATTTAGAAAAGTCGCCAAGACAGCATTTCAAGCTCAGTCCGTTAAATGATCCAGGGGAGAGGGCGAGCATTTCGGAAGTAGATGAGCAAAACTTGAGAATAGAAAATGTTATCAGATTGGAAAGTCGCAAAGTAGGAAACAGAAACGTGCCTGATGAGCGGCCTGCGAGATCTTCTCGCTCTCCTGATCAACGCTGCTCCTGGAGGCGACTGCTTGCAGACTCTCGTCCTTCTTCGGATCGACACCCGGCGCGTCGTCCAACGCTTTCTGCTTCTCCTCCTGCTTCGACGCGCTTGCCGCGGACTTGGCTTCCGGTTGCTCCTTAGCCCCAGGACTCACGTTCACCTGGTCCCCTTCGGTCTTCCTTTGCTTCGCGTTCTCCAGATTTTCCTCATAGTTCTGCGCCTCCGCGTCGTCCCTCTTCGCCGCCATCTCCAGAGCCTGAAGATGCGCTGTGCGCGCGGCCATCACTTCCGGCGTGTCCTGCACCGGGAGCGGCGCCTGCGGCAGATTCGTGGCGATCACTCGGAATCCATTCTCGCCGTCGGCGACGTACTGCGCGGTCTGGATCACGCCAGTCCCGTCGACATAGCTGTAAGTGCCTCTGGTCGCGCCGTTGGACGTCCTGACCTCCGATCTGGCCGAGCCCGGCGCGCTGTAGCCGAAGCTGTACTGGCCCAGGCTGTCCTGATAACCGAGGAATATTGGCGGCCTGGCGAAGCCAGTCGCAAACAGGCAGCAGACAAGGACAAGCTGGAAAGGTATAATGATTAGCCCGTGAGCCGTTGTCGATATCGCGGGGAGGTGGCGAGCGTTTAATGTTACGGATTAGTATCGCTGGATGATATTACAGCAAGAGCAACGGCTCGAGGATTATCCTCGCGCGATTGCGAAACCCACACGGGATCACCGTTGCGAGCGAGCCAGCGGACTCTAGACGAGAGATAGCGGGAGCGCGAGTGCTCTCCTATACGAGCAGCTCTCGCTGATACCCAGCACTTACGAATGAGCACTTCTTCATGGCGATCGTCTCGACGACACCGGGCTATCCTCGATTCGACACGCCGCCAGGACACTTTATATACGCATGCCGGTGGCGTGCAACCACGCCCTGGCGGCGCGCCTTGCTCCTCTTCCTCTTCCTCCGAGCCCGGGCGAATTCGCGAAGGCGCAAGGGCCGCTGTCGAAGACGATCACGTCGCGAAACTGGTCACGCGAGTGCCGTCGAGGTCGCGGCGGAGATCGGAATCCGGCTTTCGCGGCGTTTCCACCGGCGCGGCCTTTTTTCCGGGCCGAGATCCGCTCAACTATGCCCTAATACGTCGACCGGCACAAGGTCGCGCAATATCGCGTTCCGGCCGTAACCGTGTGCAGGTATCGGCACGCCGATGGCGATCGTTATCGTGGGGGTTGCCGTGCGGGATATCGCGGACTTTATGCGCGCCAATTTATCGCCCGATTATCTCGATCGCAGGCGCACCTCGCGAAACGCCCTTATGGATCGCGCCCGGAGTAGTTCGCCGTTCGTGGACAAGGGCTGCGCAATCGGCATCGCGAATGGCGGGCAGATGGCCGCGAGCTGTCCCTTTTGCGGGCATCACGACTGAGATACGGCGGATTGCGCCGCATCCTCTCGCATTTGCATTCCGCCGATGCGAGTGGAACGACTCTCTGCTGAACAACACGCTCTCTGAAGTGCGATCGGCGTGTTTCTCGTGGAGATGCCATACGGAGAAAACACTAAGGATATCACTTGCCTAAATATGGTTGCCATAACAAAATATTAATGTTAGTTTCCGTCCATGTATACGAGATGGTTGTAGCAACTCTGGAAGTAGTACACTAACCTTCTTTACTGTCTATCTATATATGTTTGAACAGTATTCTCAGTGCTGTATGATGCAACTAAACTCTACGGATCTTTCAACCATAGTATTCGTTCTGCAGACCGCAGAGAGACAGCGATATTCCATTGATTGAAACAACTATGCATACGAGAATGTACCAACTGAACATTATACATCATAAAAACCGGCAGTGAAAACTGTATAGATGAGCATGTAATAGTAGCAGCTTTTAACACCATATTACTTGAAGTCACACAGATTTTCTCTCTAACTATAAATATGTAGTTTAAAACCTTCTTCTCGCATTCTTCATATATTGAGCAATACCCTAATTTATTATTGCACGTTACTTTAATTATTATTGCATTACTTTCGATGTGTAAAAATACTTGTGATTCTATGCGAGCAATACGACGCAAACTTTGCAGAAAAAAGTCAGTATTCTGATTTTCGGCATGTATCCTTAAGAGTGAATACGCTGAACAAAAAGAATGATCATATTTGCGTGAGTTAAGAGTCACGCTGGTACATGAGAAAATCTCAGTTTTCGCGCATATGATTTATTCCTACAAGTCTAGTACATCAGGGATACATATGAGTCTTGATCGATAAGAGTATCTTGTGTTGCGCGCGTTAAGCCAAGTCAGAGGTGAATGCATCATCAGCAGTCAACACCAGAGCGGTCAATTCGTCCAAGACGACGTAAATTCTTCAGATGTCTCTGCCGCACGATCAGTAAACCAATCTTCCGTAAGCTAGAGCTGGACCAGCGACTGCCAAAGCATCCACGCTTCTCACGTTGTTCGGCGGACTCCGATTGCCGTTCACAGGCAGCTGCGTCGAGTCCGACAGCCTGCCAGCGGGATCAAGCGGCACCAAAGCGGCGGCGACGACGACGCCGTTGTCGAGCACCAACGGCACCACCGCACCATTAGCGTCTGCAATTCGTGTCAAGGCGTCGCTAGGCCTCACGGCTTCGCCTGCCAGATTGATTTTCTCATTCACGCGCGCGCCTGCGACTTCCGGAGCGTCCGGAATTCCGCCATCGGCCGCTGCAGGGCTGTTATCGGCGACCTCGGACGAGTCCGACGCATCAGCGGCTTCGGATCTCGCTGCTTCGTTCGCCAGATTCAGGCGTTCGTTCGCGTGAGCGGCAGCGTGAGCTGCTTTCGCGGCTGCGACCTCCGCGGTGTCCACCACCCTGCCATCAGCACCCAGAGGTGCAGGTGATGTGAAGCTTGACGGGCCGTTGTTGACATGCGAAGATGACAGTCGCAGGGCTGGCACTTGCGAGCGCGGGACTTCGTTCACAGCCAGGTTCACCCTGTCATCGAGCACACGTTGTGTTCTCCCGTTGACTTCTGGGTTGTCCAGTGCTCCGCTGTGCGCAGCAAGTTGCCCTCCGGATGTCAGACTCTCGTACGTCAATGGTAGAGATAGGAATGCAGGCTTGGCCGAAACCAGGCTTGCCAGGGCGAGCAACGCGATCGCCAAGTGCTTCATCTCGCGGTTTATCCTCCTTGAGCTCGTCGCTGCAGCGGAAAGCCGGAAATCAAGATGATCGTCGCGGATATGTCGACTACGACAATTAACGCAACGTTGCAAAATGCGTTCGATGCACACTGGCGCGCTCGTCGTCGGCACACGGTCGCCTTTATAGTCGTCTCCTGGATCACGTAATAGGACAATCGATAGGATAATCGCGGGAGGGCGCGAGGGAGAGATTATAGAGCGGAGCTCTCGACGAAAAGCTGTGCGGTTGGCTGCATCCTCTTCGTCGGGCAAGGTAAGCGTGTCTGTAAAGCGAGAGCTCGCCGACCAGTGGGCGGCGAGAGGGTGGAAAATGGAGCGACGCAGGATGAAACGGAGAGGGATTTTCTTTCCGTCATTCTTACGAGACCGGGAAGACACACGATCCCGTTGCCATTTCTCCGCTAGGTCGACCGTGATCTAGAAGGCCGTCGACGGCGCCGATGGCGAAGGCTGCGCTGGTCGCGTAATCGGTGCTAGAACGAGCTTATTGTTGTTGTTACTGGCGATTAAGTAAGAACGCCGTTGTGCTGCCGCTCAGCGCATTGCTCAATCCCTGATCAGTGGAAATTGATTTTTATCGAGTTGCTCGCATTTGCTGATTGCATTTCTGAGAAGACTCCTGACTTATTGCCTCTCAGATCTTAAGATTCCTTGTACTTCATGTACAATGTTGAATCTGTGACGTCAGACGCGAGGAACAAAATATATTGGCGAAAATTGCGTGCCATTTCTAAATAAAGATTAATATCGAAAGAGAACTTGAGACTGCTTGAGCGTACCAGTAAAATTGTTCGAAAGATACTCCTTCGCTTGACGGTTAATAAACAGTCGTATAATAAATGATGAAATAAGGCATGCAGACAAAACAGACTTATTTTATCATTTCATTATTTATTATATGACTATCTATTGGTCATTAGCTGAAACGGATGTTTTTCGAGCAATTTTGCAAGTATGTTTAAACAATTTCAAATGCTCTTTCGTTCATATTTATCTTTATTCATAAATGGCACGTAATTTTCGTCAGCATGTATCATTCCTCGCTTTTGACGTCATAAATCCGATATGGTCGACGAGGTACAAGGAGTCTTCAAGGATATCTCTCTTAGCAACTTTAAGGAAGAAGAACAACGATTCTTTTAACAGCGATAAACAACGGTGAACATCCTTTAAACCTGCCGTTCGCCTCACGCGCATCTACGAGATGCAGCCTGAATTTCTTTAGTGTAGCATAGAGCGGAGATTAGAAAAAAGACAAGCCATTTTCTTTTTACTTTTCTATCGCTCTTGTCTTCGCAGAACAGTGCATGCTTGCCTTGCGCATCATATTAACATCAAAACTGTAAGAAATAAGAAACATTTGACAGATGCACTGCGACAATTTGTGTATTTCTGATGTTGCCTAACTAATTTTTACATTAAATCTTTTGTTTTTTATTCCAAACAGTTAATGATTCTTATTTTCTTAATTTTTTTAAAGTTTATTTTAAAAAGTTGCGATGCGATTTCAAAAGAGTGTGATATATACGTTGTGTACCATTTTGAGAAAATATTGTTTGATGTATTTTTTACGTATAAATAATAGGATATTTAATTAAATTTATTTTATTTTAATGTTTCTATAAATTATAAAAGTAGTGAACAGGAAAATTGTATTTAAAAAAATGTGAGTTTTCCACAAAATAAGTAGATATCACCTCTCAGGTGACCTGCGACTGTTCATGTTCCAAAAGACGTACCGGGAAACGGAAAGTTAAGGAAAACCCGAGAGAAAAACCAGAAGAAATTAATCTCGCAATTCTAATCTGGTCGTATTCGATCAATCAGCCTGACCAATTCGGCATGAAAATTTAGGTGAACCTTGAGATTTGTAAATTCTCAAGGAAATCGTACGAAACTGTTCGGAGTGTTTGCACAAAGAGTTTTGCATTACCGGTTGGCGATGAAACCGAGAGGCGAGCGAAAAAAAACTTCTCGGCGACTAATAGGCGACGTCGCAAAAGCGAGCGTGGCGAATCGCTCCGGCTGATCACCTTCTACGATCGGGCCCGATCGAATTAGCCGCGAGGCGAATTATTAGGCGAGCGTCGTGTAGAGCGCCGGCAAAGGCAAGGCAAGATTCGCGATTACGAGAGCGAGAGGACGGGTGTCGTCAATGTCAGGTACGTCGATTCTTATTGGGCAGTGCGTGTCCACGAGCGACGGGACACATCCTGGTAGCGCGCCGTTCGAGGCACCGGACCTTTTTTCCCACGACCTATATAAAGCCCCGCTGAACAGGGTGATGCACGACACATAATCCGAGTACCTTGGCGAGTACTGATCCCCGGCAGCGCTAAGGAGCTAAGCGATTTCGTTCGAGACATCATGCAGGTCTTCGTAAGTACCGACAAAGAATCGCGATTGGATGGTCGCCGAAAATACTTTTTGGCAGATCTCTCTTGACATAAGATATTGGGAGAGGGGTTGATACACTGTTGCTATACTTGCGCGTACGCCTTCTTCAATGTAGGACGCTTCAAGCGAAGCATGTTTGACTCGTTGAACTGCCTTGGTAACAAGACGTGTTCAATTCGCGTCTGTATGAATGAAATCGCCGCGGAATATTTACTAGACAGATGTCGAGGCGTTGAGTATACAAGCTGCACTGTTCGCTTCAATGCGAGATCCCTTTCCAGGTCGTTCTTTCCGCCGTTCTGGCTTGCGCCTTCGCCCGTCCTAGTGTCCTACTGGACGTCCCGGCGGCCACTCTGACGCACGTCGCACCGTTGGCTTACGCCAAGGTGGTGCCGGGTGCCCCGATCGGGCTGGACGGTCGAGTGGTGGACACCCCGGAAGTCGCCCTGGCCAAAGCCGAGCACGCGGCCGCTCACATCAATCAGAAGATCGATCTGGCCCAGGAAACAATCAAGTCGGCTGATCATGTGGTCGCTTACAGTGCACCGGCTGCCGTAGTGGCCACCGGAGCGCAGCTGGTGCAACCAGTTGCAGTGGCGACGAAACTGGTTCCCGGTGCGCCGATCGGGCTCGACGGGCGCGTCGTCGACACGCCGGAAGTGGCCCTCGCCAAGGCGGAGCATGCAGCGGCGCACGTGAACGAGAGGCTCGGCCATGAGGCCGCGAAACTGGCCTCCCCCCATGAACTCCCGGTCGTCGTCTCGGCTTACGCCACCCCGGTCATTCATTCCTACGTCTGGTCCTAATCTTCTTGCCACGTTCAGGATAGGGTTGCCGATACGCTCAGTGTCTTATCGTACTTTGTTTATTGCCTCCTCGTACAACATCTACCCGAAAAGACCAGTATCACAAGGCCCGCATACGTCCATTGAATCCGGCACGAAACCCACCCGCTGTAACGTCCGTTTAATGGTGTAAATAAGTCCGCATGAGCTCATGGCGTAATCTTGCGATTGTTTCACTGCGAGACTGACCTCTGGTATATCTTAATCTCGTGGGACACGCCAGATCTTTTGCACAAGAGTATCACGGTGTCGCGCGTATTTTATAATTATGCACGTATATATAGGTTTCCGAAACAATTCATATGTTTTTTCAAAAGAATCTCATCTCCCTCCCCTCATTGTTATCTCCATGGGTTTCAAAATTTTTGTGAAGACGACAAGTTTTGTGTCAAATTTAACTATATATGTAATAAAGTGATTGACTGAAACTGCATTTTCTTTTGGAATACAAACACCGCGCTTCAATGTAACATAGATATGCTCTATTTACGTATTTGGCTTATCCCGCCAAGTGGGATGGACGCAACGCGTGTACAACTACTTGAAATGCGGCTGCGCTCCCACACCGCCACACGGAGGAAACTGTTATGGTTGCCACAGCCGCACATTCTCTATGGTTAGAATTTATGTGAATTCAAGGTAATTAGATGTTGCAGTGAAAATTGCTGTTGTTATATGCTCACCTCTACAATTCTCACAGCCACAGTTCTTATGATATGCGTAATATTCATTTAATGTATCCTCATACATAGTTGCTTCAACCAAAGGAGTATTGCTGCCTGTGTTGCAGTTTGCAGAATTAATACTACGGGAAAAACAGTATGGTCGGCTCACACATAAATATTGGTTGTGCCAAGCAGATTCGAAATCAAATCTGATATAAATATTGTTTTCTCCGTGTATAATTAGCCCACATATAATCTAGTTGTGCCAAGCAGACTCGATATTAAATTTGGTTGGTATAGTCAAATTTACCATTTAAAGTGTGGGCATGCTGTTTTCTTCGTATATGACTGAGAGACAGAGTAGGTTTTGATTGCGCCATACAGTATGGGGGAGTTGCACTCAAACACACATGAACAGACAGCAAAGAGAAGCAGTGTACCACCTCAAGAGTACTATAGTCTCTATGGCCCTTCTGTAGGCACGGACGAAATTAACATCAATATTTTGTCCATCATGTTTAACATAGTGCTTTCTCCGTGCAAGAGGCGTGATCTCGCTAATACAACAATGATACAATCGCAGAGAGACAACGAGAGACGACGAGGAGGACAATAATGGGCTCGTTGTGTAGGATTTTCGGGCGTTCCCCGCACGGTTGACTTTTTAGGCCAGCTCTGTTTACGTAACATTGGCAGAGAACCGACACGTCGTGTGCAATCGGCGCGTTTTTCGCGAATTGTCACTGAAAAAAAACGTAGTCGCGGCTTTCTCGCGTTACACATATACGCAATTACCGGGCAATTTCGCGACACGATTGCGTTCTACGATGCGAAGTCACGCGCTTGCGAGACTTGCCCAATACCAAAGGACAACAATGATCCGTCTGACTCGATTTCGCTTTGGGCGCTTTTTGCGGCTGCCAACAGTTGACAGGGAGTTGACATTGAGCGCGACTGAACCGCTACCACTTTCGTGCGATGTCCTTATTCCTCACACGGTAAGCGTGTAACTCAGGGGTGGCCGAGCAAGGCAAGCCGATCGAGCCGATCGATCGAGTGCGCGGCGACCGTTGCGGATTGATAAGCCGCGATAGTAAATTAGTGACGGACGTTAATGAGCGAAATGGCGAGGAAAGGCGCGGTCGCACGTGATGACGCGTCACTTTGTTTGTCCGCGTTCATTGGCACACTCTGCAGCGTGGGCTTATATGTCGTGTAGTGTCAAAGGTGCTCGCGCGCGACACACCTCTCTACATTGCGCCCGTATCCGCTTAGCACATGTCCGATACTGGTAAGGATATATGTAGCATATTCCTTTACGAAGGACACACTGCAGTCCTCAGTGCTGGAATATCACGATTCGGAACAACGCCTTGGTGAACTTTAATTACGATTATTTGCTCGCCAAGAGAGAAAGAAAGTCGCCATCTTAGGTTTAACCAACTTATTAAATTTGAGATGCGCATAATGGAAAGAAAAAATTGTACGTAATTGCAGTTGTAATTTTAGTATAAGATGTGACTGTGATTCCCGTAATATTCAAAGGCGAATACTTACGAGAGAAAAGGAAGAAAAAGAAATCAATTTCTGGTCGCAGACAGTCTCCCCGTTGAAATTTATTGTACTGGTCACAAAGATCCGAATATACGCCATAAACGCATTGCGAGGCAATGCGCTAGCATCATGGGAATGCATTCTCGATGCAGATCGTCCTTCGACTTCGAGTCCTTCGATTGTTCAGGGCTGGTGAGTCGTTTAACGCCGGTATACGCCTTTGTTATTTCTCAACGACGTCCAGTCTATCAGCAACGTGATTTAAGCGCGATCGTTTGCCACTGACAAAGGGACCCCCAGTAGTGTCTCCTTTCGATTTAGACGCGCTTTGAGTATGCTGCAGTCCAGCATAAAATGAGAGAAATATCTTCACAAATTTAAAAGATAAAATATCCTTCTGAAGGTCGACTTTTATATTCTCGAGCAAAACCATATATATGTTCCTTCATTTATGAAAAAAAATTATAACTTTAAGACAAATAGTCCTGTCGATATCTACCTTGATTTATTTTAAAGAGAAAGGTTAAGCCTATATGTAAAAAATTGGCATACTATTAAATTTAACATTTCCAATAAAATATAGTTATGTAAACTTTAAAAGAAATTCAACTTTTAACTATATTAGTAATGTTTCTTCAGATGTTTTTCACATAGCGAATTCATAAAGATTATTATCTATAAAAGTTATATCGCTGCATAACTATATCGATAACTATCAATAATATAAACGGAGTAGCAGATTCTAATCTAAAGTAGAAAATGTCAGAAGTTTCCCTGTAGTTGTTATCTGAAATTTATTATCTTAAATTTTAATTTTTACATTCTATATTTGTAATTAATGATCAGAAAAAAATAGGTATATATTTATTTTGTATTCCTAAAGATAGGAGAAATTAGCTCATGTCGGCCTAAAGATTATGTTGGCCACACGTTTGCTTCATGTATTTATTGTGAAAGTGATAGTGGAAAAGGGATCACAAAATATGTTTCTTTTAGGACATAGGTTCTTTTCTTATATTCTAAAAAAAAAACATTTTACCATTCCTTTGCCATTGTTACTCTCGAAAAAATTCATAAACAAACCGCGTGGTCAGCATGATTCTTAGGCCGAATGGTTTACCCTGCTTTACAATAGTTGTTAAATTAACCTTTTTAAAAGGTTGAATCTTGAGAAATACATCACTTAATATTACTTTGAATGCCATGGATTAATTGAAATCTGTTGATCGAAATGCAAACAAGAGCACCATCAGTTCCCTATTATGCTTCCGGTGTTGGAGTGCGGGAACCTAGCGCCCAAATGTCAAGGTCGCCAACGGCGAAAGAAAGACGAGGGAGGAGACCGCCTACCCTTTTCCGATTGACGTGCGAACTTCCCGGGCCAGCGGGTTAGCCGATCACCTCTGGACTCCCTCCAGGGAGTCGCCGGCGATCGGTCCACGTGGGAGGGGATGAACGAACGCGACTATAAATGGTACGAACCGACCGTTCTCCAGGAACACAAAACGCCGAACCGACGGCGGGGTCTCACTTCTGGGACGAGCGAGTACTGGCGTAGGAACAGCAGCGCTCTTTCTCACCAGGAGGAAGTAACGAGAAGCGGAAGACCGGCAAAAAAGAGCACACGCCCATGGATACCGTCACGAGAGGCTTGGTGAGTGATCCCAGAGGGATCCGCGAGATCCGCGCGGACAAAGGAAAGTGAAAGGGCGTTGGTAGGTCGAGAGCGAGACCGCCCGGCACGAGAAATGTCGATCGGGATCGCGGCTTCACCGGCTTATCTTTCCCTTCTAGATCCTCCTGCTCGCCACAGTGGTGACCTGCAGAGCCGGTTACGTCGGTCCACCGTCGTACGGCAACCCTCTGCTCCACTCTCAGGCCCAGCAAGTCGCGCCGAGCTATGCGCCGCCAGCTCCGGTCGGCGAAGACGGCAACGTCATCGACACGCCGGAAGTAGCACAAGCGAAGGCCGCGCACTTCGCCGAATTCGCGAGAGCCGCAGCACGAGCGGCCGTGGACGAGAAGCAACGGCAGCAGCAGCAGCATGTTTCTGGTTACAACCCCCACATCCCGTCGTCGACGCACATCTACCCGGCGGCTCAGCCAACCGCGGTCCCCTACCTGAGGCAGACCAACTACCAGCAGCCTACGCCGATTTACCAGACTGTCAACCACGTACCGGCGTCCATCTACAACCCGGGACATTACCAGCAACCACAGCAATACGATGCTCGAGCGAACTTCGTGGGCCAGAAGAACTACGCGCTGCCGTCTAAGTCCACCACCTTCGTGCCAGCGCCGTTGGCTGAGGACGGCACGGTTGTGGACACGCCGGAAGTGGCGGCTCTGAAGGCTACCAGACTCGCCGAGCTCGCCGAGGCTGAGGCACTAGCTTACAAGCACGCCAGCACCCAGCAGTACAATCCAGAGGAGAACCAGGGTCAAGGTGAGTCCTCGAGGCGGCAGAGAGGCTCAATGATTCGCTGCGTGCCGATGAACGAGTACGTGGGTGGACAAGGCGCGGTGTAAACTCGAGGTTTATGCAGGACATGAACGGAAGACGCTCTTCCGAGTCCGTGCTTGTACTACAAGGCATGCGCAAGATTCTGACACTTATGGTAAAAATAGCAATGCGTGGGCACAAGCTAATCCACAATCTTATTGTTTTGGTCTTTAAATATTTAAATTATTTTTAATATGGATATTTATATTTAAATTTAATTTATATATATTTAATATTAATATTTAAATATTATTTTTGACATTTAATATTTAAATTATTTTTAATATTTAAACTTTCAATATAAAATATTGAATTATATATTTTATAAATATATATTGAATATATATGTGTACTTTTTATAATATTTTATTCATATATATTTGTCGAATATATATATATATATATATATATATATATATATATATATATATATATTGAATATATTCATATATTTTATGTTGAAAGTTTAAATATTCGTACATAGAAAAAACAATGTAGTTGGCTCATATATAAGTCTAGTCGTGCCAACCAGATTCAATAGTAAAATACAAAACAGCTAATTATGTGGTTGTTGCAACCACGGAGCAATTGCTGAGTTACTGGCGTTGCAGCAGTGACGACATCTGATTGCTCCAACCAGAGTGCATCCACGGCAAAATGTCATCCCGATTTCTGATTCTGATTGCCATAATTACGCGCAACTATGTATCAAATCATATCAGCCATACACATTACCATCATGCAAAGAAAACTAGGATATGATGCAACTGCTACTTACAACTATATATATATATATATATATATATATATATATATATATATATATATTTGTGTACATGT